CAAAATTGATATTCCTCAATTGATCTGGCTAATGTGGCTGACCCTTGAATTTATTATAGACATTTTAATTCGGAAGGGTTCTTTACATGAAGGCCCTGCCACATTTTCAAAATTTTCAAAAAAATATATCTACGCTATTCATTAAATTTTATTATTGAAGTGTGAAGGACGTGCAACAGAATAGTGCAGAACACATATTAGTTCTAAACTCTGATATTTTTTTTGAAAATTGCAAAAGTTCAAAATGTTTTGGAGTCTTCATAGAGATTTTTGTCTCTTAATGAAATGTCTTCCTTAAAGATAGATTTTTAAATAAGTTTATGTACAATTTTTCAAAATTTAGAGTTCTTCGCGTAATATCGCGTCAAATATAGGATATTTTTAATTTTGATAAAACAATTTTTACTTTCTCGCACTTATTTGTTTATATTTGTATATTTGTAATGGACATTTTAATTCTGGAGGGTTCTTTACATGAAGCCCCTGCCACATTTTCAAAATTTTCAAACAAAGTCTCCGTTTTTCATTAAATTTTTTTATTGGATAGTGCAAAGGACGTTTAAGAGAATGGCGCAGGTTTAATTTTCGTTGACATCCCCACTGTTTCGAACATCGGAAAAAAAAATTTAACTTCAAATTTGGAAATGAGATTTTTGTCAGAGTATGTTATACAAATTTAGCTCTTCATCAAGCCCATGTAGAACTTTTTTAAAAATAGTAGTTTTCGCGTATTTGGCGATTGAAATTTACAACAAAAAAATCAAAACCTCTTCCTACAACTACAATTGTGACGATACTATTTTTTTTCTTGATGAAATGTGTTCATCAAAAACAGATCTACCAATAAGGTCATGTTGAATTTTTCGAAAATATGAGTATTTTTTGTGTAATTTGACGTCAAAAGTAGTCGCTTGATTCGAAATTCCTGCGCTTCATGATCGTAGAAGTGCTTGAAAACTAGTTGGATGCTACGTAAGTTAGAATTTGTATATTATTTCATATTTGTTTGTTTGGTTCTTGCATTTGAGCGTTTTTTATACGTTTGTTTACGAGTGTGTATACTTTGTATTTGTACTTTGGCACAACACAAGCTCTTTACGAGCTAAGGCCTACCAGCAACGACCCGACCTTGCGGCCATGGGTTAAGGGGGTTCGTGTGTTAGCACATTATCATCCCTAGGCTGTATTTCAGGTATTCTTAACATAAGAAGTGAGCTTCTTCAGCATCACACAGCAACAGACACTGACTCAATGCAAGGAAAGCGCACAATTAATTGTCTCGACCGGAAATCGAACACGCGGTTGCGCCGTGGAAAGCAAGCACGATAACAAACGAGCCACCGAGGGCTAATTTTGTAATACGCTTACAAAGTAATATTTTAAAAATTATTTAAAACCTTTTCGATAATCCATATTTTTTGTCAGTGTTGCTAAGAATGTATTTGCATTCTCAATGTATTGATGTATTTTCTTTCAAGCAATCCGCAAATCGTAATTGAAATTAGCTCAATTAGGATACTCTCTTAAAATTCGATTTAAATGTAATATGAAAGAAAAAATTGCTATCCTTGAGGAAATATCAGATTGGAATGCAACAATGGCATTTTACCCTGTGTCATGACACCTGTAGTTCTGTGGATTACGTCTTATTGTTGGGACAATATTTAGCTGTATGAAACGCAGTTATAACTGTCAAACTTGTGTTGATATCTGATAGAAAATATTTAATTTTCGCATCTAATGTTCTGCATTTTGTAATGAGTATTACAAACTAGTGGTGCAAAACAGCACATATTTTCTCGCCTATAGTAACAGTTATGTAATAAGTTTTATTCTAGTTTATAACGGTGGCACTAGTAGTGATATCACTAGTACTACTTTATAATATGATAGTCCCTGAAAGCTAAAAGTATTTCAAATAGGTTTTAAATAATTTCTAAAAGATTAATTTGTAAATATGTAATAAAAGTAGAATGTAAGAAATGAACACACATATATGAACTAGACAAATTCTAACATATGAAGCATCGAAATGTAGGCAATTATGACAACGAAGCGCAGTAAATGCGGCCATTATTTTTGTCCCCAAATTAGCCCAAAAATACTCATATTTTCAAAATATCAAATGTGACCTTATTTGAAGATCTATTTTGGATAAACACATCCTCTGCTGTCATTGCTTTGCACCAACACCACGTAGATATACAGTTTCTAGGTTGTATTGTCTGCACGCAACAGTTGTATGACATGTTAAACTGGACAATATAATTTTATGAATGCTGGTCTAAATAACCAGCTCTTTAAGAATTATTTGCCTCCGGTGTGAAGTAACGATGAAAGCCATTATACCGTCTGCAGACTATCAACTTTATGTACTCGTATATCAATACTTTGAAGATACGAATTGTAGGAGTATTCGAATTGTACAGTAAATGTGCGAGAAAACAAAAATATAATTAATATTGGCATTTTCAATAGGAAATTATTATTAAAATTAGAGTAATTAACAAAACGAACGTATAAAGAAGGTACGAGCGACGATAGGAGGGAGTTTTCTTATGTACCATGAGCGCAATTATACCTCTTTATCCACATGTTTTGTTCAATATTTTTTACGTTCCATTAGAGATTATTTTAATTTTAGAAAATTCAATCATATCTTTACCATGAGAGGTACGTGTTTGATGACGTCATATTGAATCTCAACAAGACCTATTTAAGTAGGCCTTGCAGTGTATATTTACGATCACCTTACTATCTTAGAGAGTAATTGTAATTGATAATTACGTTTGAAAGAGGAAATATTTAATATATTCCGGTTGAAATATGAGAAGAAGCTGACAAAGCCATGAAAACATTACCTCGTGCGAAAAGTAAGAGCATGTATGAGAGAACATGTGTTAACGTTGGAAAGAAGAAAGACGATTCTGTTCTGACTTTGACATTTATCCAGGGCGAGTAAATATAATTGACAATTATATTTTTTATATTTGTAATATTCTAAGACCAAATATTTTTCACGTAAAACATTTATTCATCTTAAATATTTTGTTATTCCATTAGTCTGCTAGTGTCAAACCAACATGCTTATGGTAATACTTGTTTAATGTTGAAGAAATGGCGTGTAAAGGAGAATACCGATATTTTAAATTATAAACAATTCAGTAGGTTTGCCAAAACAACTGCTCGCTGGGCCGTCACGTGAATGTAGGTGAATTATCATATCTGTGCAATATAAAACGACTTCTGGATGATTGATGCCCAGTATGAGTAGGGCAATAGTTTCTGGTGTAACGTATTGTACTACAAAATTTAACATATTTGTCTAAGAAGTAGTAATCATTATTCGTTTATAATTTTGTTTCATTCGTTCACTGATTATATTTTTTTTATGCATGGAATATGTGATATACATTTTTGTTCATGTTTCATAGCTGCTTGGAAACGTCTGTATTATAGAATAATAAATAAACAATTTCGATCAGTTCTCTAAGTTCTGATTGGCTGTTGGGGACTTTTAATTGCACGATTAAGTTTTACTTGCATGCATGCCATAAACATAGTGATAATGAACGATTTTTCATGGAATTAATGAGCATATTTAGTTAAAGAAAAATTTAATTATTTTTAAAAACATTCATTCATTTTTTCTCTAGGCCCGTAGTTGGCGTGAAACCTGTTAATGTCATTAATTTCAACCATAAATAACGCAAAAATACTAGTATTTAAAAAAAATTGTACCTGACCTTTTTAAAGAGCTAATTTTGTACAACAGACTTTGTCAGAAACAAAAATCTCTATCTTCAATTTTTTAGTTTTGATTTTTTGTTGCAATTTTCGAAAAAATCGAGCAATACCTGAAAATAAGACTTGCGCTATATTTCTTCCCGTTTCTGATTACATATGTGGAGAAAATTTAAAGAAAACTTTGGAGTGGATTTTAATGAATTTTTTTGTAAATATCAATAGCAAATTATGCAAAATTGTTTTTTTTTGCAAACATGCTTTCATAACTTTTTTTGAGGAGCTAATTTTGTACAACACACTTTGTCTAAGGCAAAAATTTCTATTTAAAATTTTGTAATTTTAAAATGTTTTGTGTTGTTTTCAAAAACAGAGCAACACATGAAAATGGGAATAGTGCCATTTTTTACCGTCTATTATTACATTAGTGAAGAAATTTTTTTAAAAATTTTGAGCGGTTTTTGAGACATTGTTTTGTAAATTTAAATTGCTAAATACGCAAAAATTACTCTTTTTATATGAGACAAGAATCTCTTATCTCCAATTTTGAAGTTTTTAATTTTTTTCAATTTTCGAAAAATTGGGGATGTCAATGAAAATGAGACCTGCACCAATTTTTTAAACGTCCTTTGAACTATTCAACAATAAAATTTAATCGAAAAATTTGGTGACTTTTTTGAAAATGTCCCAGGGGGTTCATGTAAAAACACACCAAAATTAAAATTTTGGTTTCAAATTCCAGGGTCCGTGACATCAGCTAGAACGATTAGAGAATATCAATTTTGGAGAAAAGCGGGTGAACGTTTTAAGCGCTAGTGTTGTACACAGACGGGAAGACGGACGTTTTGAAGTCAATCGATTTTTCAGTTTCAAGGACCCAGAAAACATGGATTCTGGCTACACCACGGGCAGGAGGATTTTTCCCCCCAAATTTAGCAACTGGATTTATCCACCTTTTCCTTACCAGGGCCCGGCAATAAGAGATTTTGTGTCGAAAATTCGCCCTTTTCCGGTGCACGATTACAATACTTTCTCTTCGTACATTAGTAAGTACGAGGAACTAAAAATGACTGCGATGCGTTAATTCGGAGAGAGATTGCGGTTTAAATGGTATTACATTACTAAGGACGAGAAAATATGTGCTGTTTGTGTACCACTAGTATATTGAGCTATAAAGTCGACCAATAAACTCGCTGAATATTTGAGTATAGTATGGTTTGAGAGCTCATCTGATCTAGTAGCCACTACGTACATACCAAATGAAGAACACCACCAAAGATTTCTGACGCAAGTTGGGCGTGCGCACGAGGTCCAGCATAGAGCCGCCTTCCAAAGCCTTCTTTTCCGGGTCCTGCAGGTGAGTGCTCCGGGTTACAGAGTCCAGGACGTCTTCAGGCACCGTCACGCGGTTCTCTTTCGCTGCTTTGTGAAGCACGCTGCGAGCGGTGTCGCTGCGTCCCTTTGTGATGAGCCATCGCGGTGATTCCGGAACAAACCTGTAAAGAAGCACATTAGCGAAGACTTTACTCGTCATAGCAGGCGAAATAACCATTTTCTCAGTCAGTTTGGAATTTGGTCCGAGAATCCAAACTCTTCTCCTTCAATATGGGGTCTGACTACTTGTACGCATTTTTCTGTTGTCATATGAAAGTGTGATATGTTCGTCTACTCGATTTCGGAAGTTATCAACTACTTTGTATTCACTTTGAAGGTATGCTCTATTCTTAACTCTGATTACTTACATATACATGTAGAGCCTACCAAGTGATTTGATGCAATTGTTTTAGAATGAATAAATCGTAGAAGGTTTGAAGGCACGGGCACCTAAACTGTAAGTCGTCTCTCGAATGGAAATAAATGAAGTTACTATTCTCTACGTATCATCAAATTTCGCTTATTCATTTTGTGAAAATAATTGTTAAAGATGTTACCTAACTTCTTGTTACGTGCTTTGCCAAGTTCTGATGATAGTTTTGTTATGGAATTAAATTGCAATGAAAGTAACAAGAACTTTTCAATTCGGAAGCGAATTATTGACAATGATATTTGCGAAGGTAAATATCATTCTGCGGGCACAAATTTATCTGCTTCAGAAATTTAAGCTTTTTTTAAAAGAAAACAAACAGGTTAATTTTTTTCTGAACTGTAATTCAGAAGATTCAGTGTCGACATTAAAACACCATACGTCAAAACAAACATCTTCAAAAATAAAATGAAACCTTGACGATAGACCTTAAAGAATTTTTTTAAAAGGCTATCTGAATCACCATTAGTTTCAATATATTCATCTTTTGAAATTGAATCGCTTTGTTCTGCAATTGTTAAACGTGATCGCAGATCAAACAATGTCATTTATGAAGTTCAAGAAAATCTTCTTTCGTCTTCAAAAGACCGATGAGTCTTGGACAAGTAAGGAGTATTATCGATATTTTTCAAAATTACCAATTTAAATATTAATGAAATAGAAATTCAAAGATTGAGAAACCCCCAAATAAAAAATCAGATACGAAATGTTGATCTAAAAGTTATATTGCTTGGATCAAAATGAGCATGGAAATATTAAAAAATAAAAATGTATTAAAGCGATGCTCGTTTTGCACCGAAGCATATATATTAAACAGAGAGAATACTTGAAAGGGATTCTTTCTCAACTGAAAGTTGAAATAGAAAAGGGTAATACCAATGCTAGCGCTCTATATAGGTAAATGGAGTTCCCACGCTATTCATATCACCAGCCAAAAACAAATCATTGTCCAATTTTGCTGAATAGGGAAATTATATTAAGGTAATCCTCAATTAAAATGACAGCTTATTGTCAGAATGTTCGTGGCTTTGAGAACCAAGTTGTCTGTCTTCAACATTTCGTGATCATCGTATATTGATACCGACCCTCTAATATTTACAGAATTGGCAAAAAGTTGAAATAGCGATTATGAAGTTGAATCTACCAAATCATATGATCTAGTTTGGATAAAAGCGCAACTATAAGCAATTTCGAGAGAGGGAGGAATTAAAGTAGTTGTTCACCAAAAATACTTTAGTACAATTTCATCAGTTAACACTTGCTGAACAATTTGTACTGGTCGAGAAGATTTTCATTTCAAGAAATCTAATTAGTAAGGACCGGATGTTTAGGTAATGCACCTAGAGACAGAGCTCATTCAGAGATTTCATTTTTTACTTTTAACATGTTATGTAACCCAATAGAAAGCATTGCAGAAACTTGCCTTGCTCCTAAACAAACCTTTTTGCCTCTACATAGAAGCAACGCGTCTCCAAGCCCCTTACATTTAAAATTACATTTGTTTTTTGAGAAAATAGCGTTTGAGCTAGCGGAATTTTGACCTTGGAAGTTTGAGAACGGTTGAGCTTGGAATTTCGAGAAACTTTATTTGATATTATTTGAAATACATGCACTCATTAATATAATAATGTGAACAAATTGTCGCTGATGTAAATATTAATGACTTGAGAAACAAGTAAAAAATACGTTTTTGTATTTTTTGAAAAAACAAAAGAATAGAGCAACATGACGTTTATGTCATCTTACAGAGTGCATTTAGCCCTATCCAAACCAAAAGTTTAAAGAAAAAAGTTGGAGCCATTTTTCAGAAAATCTGTTTTTTGTAATTTTTTAAAATATTGATCGCCATATTGCACGAAAACTACTAAAAGTTTCGAAAAACTGTACAGGGCGAGTTATGGGCAACAAATTTTATATGAAGGAAAAACCTCAATCTAATTTTATAGTTGTTGGAAGACGGGAAAAAATACATACTTTTGAAATTTTCGAAAATTCAGAGATATCCGTGAAAATTGGATCTATGCCACCTATATTTTACTCTGTTTTTACAAGAAATTTAAAGAACAAAATTGGAGCAGTTTTCGAGACAATTTTGAAAATGTCCGGAGTCCTTCATGTTAAGTGTCCCCAAATTTTGAAGAAGGGTTTCAAAGTCGCGGTGCTTCCAGTGGAGCCCGATTGACCGGGGAATATCCATTTTGCAAAGGGCCTCGTGGCTAGCATTTGGTCAGCATGTTCTCTTTCTACTACCTGGCCCCGCGTTCGATTCCCGGTCTGGCAGGATTATAGTGTGCGTTTTCCTTGCGGGCTGTCACACCAACTGCAAGACACATAAATAACTATTTTAGAACAAATGGTATGTATGGTTTAGGCGCAAATGGTGTTCACAGACGGACGTTAAAAAAAATAATTTTTTTTGCGGTATCAGGGCACCCCAAAACGTGTATTTCCGTTGAAATCTCGAAATCAATTTTCCACAGCGATACAAAACTTTTCTTACACTGCGCATATTACTCCGTACGAAACGAGAAAGTAAAAACTACTCGTTTATACTCCTATTTAAACACAGTGGCACTTAAAGACCTCGAGCTGCAAGGAAAAGGGGACATTACCATCCAATCGTGAGTTCCAATACCAAAAATTAAGACGTAATGAGGCTCCCGATTTGAATGAGTGTCTTCTCCGTCAGTCCGATCCCTTGAAGTGCCACTACGTTTAAATCGGAGTACATAAGCGATCTCTTCGAGCATACTGTACGTTCGCGAGTCACCTAGCGAATGTTTTCATCGAATTCCTCAGAGGATTCTCCAGCGAATTCCATGCGGATCTCGATTAAATAGCGAACCGAATGTTTGTAGAAGTGAAGATTTCTCTCACGTTAGCCTCTATCTCACCCACGAACACTACCATTCCATTCTCGCTCTACCTTCCTACTCGCGTAATATTACTGGCAGTGTTGCTGCGATCTAGTAGTACATTTTGTCTTATTGGTCCGTTACGGCGATCGTGTTGGGAGTTCATCTCGTTAGGGTAGCGAACCTCTGTGTTGCCTATGTTCTACGTTGCATTTAGGTGGAACAAAAAGTGGTCTTTTTCTTCTGTCGGGACCATACCCCTCCTTAATATTGATAATTCCCCGGAGGGTTCATCCGTTGTTACTGTCCGAATTCCTTTCGTCGCAGTCGATAACAGCGATCTACCCACTCCCCTCGGATTCGCAAGTAGGTCGGCGGTACCACGGCGACAAGTAGGCCGCTTCCCTTCTGAGAAACCACAAACCACTCAGTTAACTCTCCCTTCTCATGCCACGGCCCAGTCCTTTCAACCGCCTGCCTGACAAAAGCCGTACCTAATTTCTTACAGCGCAGAGCTGCCGTGCAGTCGCTGCACTTTCTTCTTGCACTTTTCACTCCTTTCTGATTGCTGCGCATTCTCATTTTCATGCAATGAACATTTGTGTTCCATTACACACACACAGTGTTAATACTCATTCACTAATCGTTCTAGTTGTAATTCTTATAGATGGGTGAAAATGATAAATTCAAGTTCAAAAATGAAACCCCCTTCTGGCGAAACAAATGCAGCTCTAAGTAGTTTCTTTTTCCCTTGCGATTCGATTCTTTTGAAGGTTTAAGTGCATAGATATTTTTTAGGTGTAATAGGGAAACATATTACTTATACATCTTGCTCAGGTTGATACAATTATTATCTTGGAACAAGATGCTCTTTCAGACATGTATTCAAAATAGTTTCCTTACCAAAAGCGTTTTGAATTAAGTGAATATAATTAACCCAATTTGTTTTCTTTTCTGAATGTAGAGTAAAACTGTATTCAAACATGTCTTTGTGATAGTGACAAAGTTGTCGTAATAGTACTCCGATTACGATAGTTGTATGTTTGGATAGACAGAACACATCTCTAAATGTAAGCAGAAGGTATCAATGACAGTCTTACCACCAATAGGAAAAGAAGACGATCCCTGGCAGCGATACAGCTCCCTGCAGTAGTCGCCAGTCACGTATGAAGTAAGCAAAAGCTGCTGTTAAGATATATCCCAAAGTGAAGAAAGCTTGTACGATGACTCCAGCTACAAGTCGTTTACTTGGGCCAACCATTTCCATCGCTGAAACATATATTTTAAGAAGACTTTATAAATAGTTTCGTTAGCGTATTTGCAAGACGTGCCAAGAAAAGTAATCAATTATCCCAGCAAGAGGAAGATGACAAGCGTTTATTAAAATATTTCTAACCATTCGTCTCTAAGATATATCATCCATGTCATTTGTATCATTATCATTTGATGATACAACGCCGATGGCGACCCAAACACCAGTTGGTACATTTCATGTCAAATAATAAACCCATGTGGGGAAAATTTCTTCACGTTCCAAGATAATTTGTTTAACTAGTGTTGTTAGAGAAAATGAAATTTATATATTTAGAAAGGTTTGCTTTAGCTCATACTATCAATACTGATTAATTTTCTTTACTTAAAAACTTGGTATGATTGCCTGACGGAAGTTACCACTAGTGATATGAACAGGTAAAGAATATTCAGAGCAAAAGCTCCTCCGTATCTTTTTACTTTCCCGTATATGTACGTATATACCGAGTAATATACGTAGTATAAGGAAATTTATATAATGCTTCTGAAAATAAATTTCCATATTTCAATGGAAATGCGTTTTCAGGTCCCCTGATACCAAAAAAGTGGTTCTTTTGAAAATGTCCTTCAAATTTTCACTGTTAACTCTGAATTTTCGGAAATTCTAAAAGTTTGAATTTTCTCGGCGTCTTCATACAACTACAAAATTGAAGATAGTGATTTTTCCTTCAAATTAAATTTATTGTCCATACATAGTTCTTCCATTAAGGTCATCTACATTTTTTAAAATTTTAATAATTTTCGCATAATTTCAAAAAATAACAAAAAAAAAGATTTTCTCAAAAACACTTCCATTTTTCTTTAAACTTTTGGTAAGGGTAGTGCTAATTGCACACTCTAAGATGACATAAACGCCACATTGCTCTATTCTTTTGTTAATTTTTTTTTATTTCTCTCTCACGTCATTATTATTTACATTAGCGACAATTTGTTCACATTATTATATTTACGAGTACATGTGCTTTAAATAATGTCAAATAAAGTTTCTCAAAAACTCAACCGTTTTCTGTGAAAACTAGTACAAAATTCCGCATTTTTCAGAAACGTTCTAACGCCATTTTCTCAAATCTTCTCCAAACTTTTTCTTCAACTTTTGGAACGGATATTGCTAATTGCACTCTTGAAAATGACACTAAGTTCATCACCAGATATTCTTTTTTTTTTTTCAAAAATTCCACAAATGTATTTTTTAAGATACCTCACGCTGTTAATATGCACAATTCCAGCAATTTGTAAAGACTATTGTAATTGTGATTAAAGTGCTTCAAATGACTTGAAGTAAAGTTTTTCGAAAATATTTCTATGAAAAAAAGCTTCAAATTTAGATTTAACGGATCATATTCGCGCTTAAGGATCATTTTCTTAAAAACCATGTGATATCGGCTCCAAATTTTCTAAAGAAAATTGCCGGTAAGGCGAGGTTTTACTGCGCTTTAATAATATTGAAATAATATTTCCGTTGTACTATTAGGAAACCGAAAAATTAAGAAATTGGCAAATAATGCACTTTGTGCGGCGATAGATGGCAGCTGGCAAAAGTATGTGGCAAGTCCGAATAGCTAGCCGACCCGAAGGATATAGAACACTAATACGAGAATGTCCTTTGATACGAAGTTCGGTACACGCTGCATAACTTGCCTGGATCAAGGGGACTGTGGTTTCGAGGAAAATATGAAAACAGTTAAATGATGCTACATGTTCCCTCACGGAGGGAATTATGAAAGGGAACTGTAAGAGGGAAATATGAAATGACAGACCGAGTCAAGTTAACATCTAGTTAATTAGAAAATAAGTAAATCTGAATAAATAAAATTATGTATGTACCACCGGCGTTAACTGATTCTAATGATCTCGGGGGCGAAAAAACCCTCGGACCGAAGGCCCTCGGGCATTTTGTCGCCGCTATCTTTAGAACTCTTGTAACGTCCTTGATTGATAATTAACTATTTTCACGGAAGTAAGATAGTTGTCTTGCCAACAATCTTTTTTTAACAGATATTAAAAAATGCGAACTTTACGTACACCTAGCGACGCAGTTACGACACCGCAGCGACCGCCTTTTTTATGCAGTTGTAGAAGACTTTTTTCCTGTTAGGGAATCCCCAAACCTTAATTCTGTTGCTTTTTTAAAGCATTTCACTTCTTTGTTTTACTAATGATTAGATAAATACTTAAATGGAAAACAGTACGTCCAATATGTCCGATAAAGTTCGTACATTGACCGCTGATTGCGGAGGCAGAAATTTTTACAAATGTTACAAATGTTAATGAATTATGGGCAGAGTTGTGCGTCATCTTTGTAGTACGCTGTAAACGAGGTTTCGTTTGTTTTGCTTAGCCTTCATGTGATAACCAAGAGGTTATCAAAACTCTCTTGTAGGTTTTGGAGCACTAGAAAATGCTTCCGGGTTGCTTTTTGCTCTTTTGAAGATATTCAAATGAGCGTATTAATACATCTTATCTAAGAATACTCTCATTATTATGAGATGTCAAGTTTATATGTATATTTATCTTATTCTTTAAGAAAGATTCCAACGATATTACCGTCGATTAATGAAAGGATATTAGTTGACAATGTTTTTGAAATATTTTTAGTGAATCTTGGTACAATCAAAATTGTTTTTACTCTGACGCGACATCTCCCGGTCAGCCAAGTAGTTATTTTATTCGCATCTACAGGTCCACAACAAAGCGAGCTTTAGATTACATCACCACATTATTTGAAAGTGAAAAGATAACTCTAATTAAGAACAGGGGTGTCTATTCAGGGAAAGTGGATGAAGTACCACTATATCAGTTATTTGTATAACAATTACATTACTTACTCCCAGTATGTAGAGAGTATTGGGTCATTCCACGTCAAATACCACAAATTTAAGGTAAATTTGATCTTGATGTCTTAGATTTTAAAACTTTTTTTCAAATAACAGTATAAGCAAAAATATGAAACACGTGTTTTTATTTTTTTTTCAAATATTATTTTTTGAGATTATATTAATTTTCAAAATGTTCGAAAAAATGTTCTCATCGCTCATTATCTCATCGTTATTCATTTTGAACTCGTGTTGTAATTGTGACAGAAATTTAATAATTTGCGACATTAAATAAAAACATATTTCTTTCATTTTATGTATTTATTAAATTCATTAAATTTGTTAAAAATTGAGAAAAGTACCATTGAAATTTCTGAAAAGTTTTACATAAGTCAGATAAGTTACAAAGTGGGACACCGAGATAACTATTTTTAAAAAGTTATTTATGGGTATCCCACTCAAATTTGGCAGATCTGTCCCACGTTCGTGTAGAAATACGTGAGTATTTTATACAATTAATATAAGTGTCGACATAATAAAAAATTTGCATTTTAAAAATTGAAATACATTTTAAATAATATATTTACAAAAATTATTTTGAAATTAAATGAAAGTACATTTTTAAAGTTAAATTTAAGTGACATTTTATTTTTCTGAAGGAAACAGTATTTGCGCAAAAACATTTTAAACACCAGCCTGCACCATTTTTTGGAAAAAATAATTAGTAATACTCTGAAAGGAGCGGGCTTAAAAATAAAGAAAAAGTAGTGTTGTTTTGTGAGTGTGCGTTTTGACGTGGAATGACTCACTGCAAAGCTGCAGGGGAAAACGGGAAATTTTCAACAGAACTCAACAACAAAACTCTTCTTGCCGGGCTCTTGTAACGAAAAAATGGATAAATATTGTCCTTATAAGTAGTAAATTTCTCAAACATGTTGAGTCGTCACGCTCCATGTTTAATGGGTCCTTGATGCTGAAAAACTGGATTACAGTAAAACGTCCGAGAACAACGTCAGGCAGTGGCTAAACCGTAAGCAGGATTTTTATCAAAATTAATATTCCCCGAGCGATCCCCTGTCTGATGTCGCGGTTCCTTTTATTTGAAACAGATATTTTGAATTTTGGGGGTACTTTATATGAAGCTTCAACGTTTTCAAAATATTCATAAAATGGCTCCACACTTTTCTCCTTAAATGTTTTTCTCTCATGGAGCAAAATATTCTTACCGAAACGACATAGGTCGCATTTTCATCGAACGTTCTGAATTTTTCATAATTGCATGAGTTCGAAGTTCAGATTGATCAGGGAACATCAATTTTAAAGGAAATGGGCTGAACGGTTTTGATGCAATGGCTGTTAGATGGGTTGATAGTGATTCCGGACGCGTCAACTGCTAAGGCCACTAGTCCCATCAGCGTAGTGCATGCTTTTGCTCGGGAGGTGGCGGTGATCTGGATGGATAAATCAGACGCCGACCTACCGAGGCCTAGCGGAGTTTTCTCCAACTAGTGGGGCATCGCCCCTGTCGGGGCAAGCTGTAAGCTTCCGACCGGTTTCCCGGCATTTGCGGTGGTAAGATGCATGTACATGTGTGTGTAAGTAAAGAGTAGTGTGGCGTCGTTAACACGAGGGCCAGAACCGTTAGGTCGGTGAAAGTACGCTGCGGGGGA